AGTACTTGTGAGGCCAAGTACCGAAGGTAAGTGGAGAATTGAAACCTTTTGGTTCACAGCCATGCTTTGGAACTGAGTTTCCGTTTTCGGAAGATACATAAAATGTGACAGCAATGCATGTCGGTTAATGGGCTGCTTGCAGGTCCTGAAAGCATCTTAACGCTTGACCCCAGAATGAAATCATTCAGGACAAGTTTCACCTCAACGAAATGATGTGGGCAACGTTGTGAAGGCCCGTTGCGAGTCCAACACAGCTAGTCCAGCAGTGCCACCGGAGCCGTTTGACGGTTTCAGCATCATATCACCGGCAGTGCAACAAATCCGCGGGTGGTGCTCGGATGGCTTATTCCGCAAGCCTCACTGGATTGATTGAAATCATCAACAGCTTCCTCGAAGTTCTTGGCTGTGGACAGCACGAAGTACTTGTATGCCTTGATTTGCACATCTTACTTCAGACAAGTTTTGCCGTAGCAATGGGACCCCGGTTCAGGACCATACTTGTCACAATCAAGAGGACTCTTGGGAAAGACTGGCTGGTAGAGGGCCACGAAAAACTGTTGGCCGGCCTGCAAGAGCCATAGATACCGAGGCTGTAGTGACTCTTGGGGAACCCGTCTCACATGAAATGGCACGTGGAGCTGTTTTTCGGAAACCTTGCCCAAGATTAACCACGTGTTGTCTCGTCTGGCAAACCCGAGAAAATCTTGGACTCGCCAACGTTACCTCGTGGTTGGATCTCAAGCATCATCGATGTCACAAGAGTGGCCCCAACTTGACATCATGAAGGTATGAAGCAGCCATCGTCTCCAAATGTTCATCATTGCAATCAGCATCCTGGGATAGTCTGGAGGCTCTGCTTGACGCAGCGAAGTTGTGACATGGGACGACCTTCTAGAGAGGTCCTTTGCCTCTCACCATGTCTCAAATGGGCAACGCCAACCAATTGGTGCCCATGGCACCCTGAAGCTTTCAGCTGCAACATGAGATCTAGCTGCTAGCTGGTTCCGACACTACCACTTCATTTCCGTAGTATGCTTCCTTACTTCTTGCGGAATTGCATGAACGTTGAACAAAAGATTGGGCACAGCTGGTCTCACCTTAACCAAAGGATTGGCATCGTTGCAAACACCAATAAGGTGGTGTGAACAATGCAACCGCCGGTTCGCATCCCAACTTGCCGACATCAAGCGAAGGGCATGAAGCGGCCAGGTCAAATGAACACCAGACGAAAGAGCTCTTGAGAAAGAAAGGGTGCCAGAGAACCAAGTAAAGCTTTGGGCAGGCAGCGGCAGTCAGCAAGGGCCACAGACCCGTTCTCACCCTGAGCGATTGCATGCGTCTTGGGCGGGCTGTTTATTGTTGGAGGCCTTGCCCAAAAACAGTCCATTTCTTCATTTTGAGCAAGGCCAAACGAACAGGTGAATCTGACAGTGGCACCCTACAGCTGCAAGCTGCAACATGAGACCTAGCTGGTTCTGACATCACCACCATCGCAGAGCGGCGACGACGGGATGCTTGCAACCAATGGAACCACCCGCATGATTCATTCGGTGTGCAACCAGTCAAAGCAAGTCTCACCTTTCCACTGGGTCCCAGACTTTGAATGAGAAAATCAAATTGGCGGCCAAAACCTGTCCAGGATTCCGTCTCAGTGATGCGTGTCTGTTGATGGGCTGCTTGCACTTGCAGGTGCTGAAACCATCTTACAGTTTGACCCGAGAGGGAAATCAGTCAGGACAAGCTTCACCTCAACAAACTGATGCATGGGCCACTGCTGTGACCAGTTGCGACTCCAACCTAGCAAGTCACACAGTAGTGTCACAGGAGCCGTTCGACTGTTTCAGCCTCAGGGCAACCTGATTTTGCCGCTCTTTATTGCAAGAAATCTGCAGAAGGTGCGTGGGCGGCTTATTATCCAAGCCTCACTGGCTTGATTGATACATGCGTGTCTGTTGATGGGCTGCTTGTTGATGCTGAAACCATCCTAAAGTTTGACCTGAGAGGGAAATCAGTTAGGACAAGCTTCACCTCAACAAACTGATGCATGGGCCACTGCTGTGACCAGTTGCGACTCCAACCTAGCAAGTCACACAGAAGTGTCGCAGGAGCCGTTCGACTGTTTCAGCCTCAGGGCAACCTGATTTTGCCGCTCTTTATTGCAAGCAATCTGCAGATGGTGCGCGGGTGGCTTATTATCCAAGCCTCACTGGCTTGATTGAAACCATCAACTGCTTCCTCGCAGCTCTTGGCTGTGGACAACCAAGCAGATATACCTGAACCCACCCTGAAGGAATTGACTGGCTGCCAGCCCCCCCTGACCAAATTGCAAACACTTAAAATCTGATGTAGTTCA